ATTCACAAATGTGATAAAAATACCAACAAATGTGACAACTCACCTACAAAAGTGATAATTTTTTTTTTGTATAAAAAAAAAGTGGTAAAAATAGTTATCACAAATATGATAAAAACAACTACAACAATGCTAAAAACACTCATAAAAATGGTAAATCACCCACAAAAATAATAAATTTTTTTGTTATAAAATGACTTACAAAAATTATAAAAATACTCATTAAAATAAAAAAATTAGAGATACGGTACTAAACAAAAATTTCAGTGCCGAAGTAAAGTCAACTATTAGATGACCTGTTTGACTAAATAGCAAATTTGGGAGNCACACAAGATTTACGTGGTTCCCTCAAATAACTTGAGGTACATCCACGACGACCGGTAGGTCAGTTTCTTCCACTATCACCAAATCAGATTACAAAGTGGCCAAAAGGCATAAGCCTTACAAACACACCAAGGTGTAAATCACAAGAGGAAAATACCTCACAAAATAAGTGATCCAAATCTCCAAGAACAAACCGCAAGAAACCCAAATATCAAGTGAAGAAATGTTACCCACTTGAAGAACAAATTTGCAGATTTTTCTGGCACCAAAAAGGAGAAGAAGAAGGCTGAATTTTTGTTGAACCAAAGACTGCCGAAAATATGTCTTCTTGCCAAACCAACAGAGAAGAGAAGAACTAAGAAAGGACAAAACTTATAGTCTTTTGGTGGCTGCCAAATTCCTTTTTAACTTGAAGACTCCAAACCAAGTCTTGGATAAGAGTCCTACACGGGTAAGCCACCAAAAAATTAACAAATTGATGAGTCCCACAAAGGAGGGAAACCCAACAGGGGGGGGAGAGGGAGGCTTCCATTAGTTATTAGACATAATAGGTGGAGTGGCCACTAAACAAAATAAGATTAAATTAAACAATGAATAAGATAATATATCTCTTTCTTTTTTTTCGGTAATTTGGGTGGGAACCTCATCTATCTAGGTTTTCTTACAAAAACAAGTACTCGTCATACTTGCTTTCAGGATTGCAGATAATGAAATTGATGGAGAATCCAACTAATCAATTTCATCTCCCTAGTCAACTCCCTTATTTGTCAATGCATTAGCACATTGATTTCTCTCCCACAATGTGTGAGAAACTTTGATGTTATTGGCTCCAAGAATGTGCTTGCAGTTGTCCACGCGATGCTTTATTGGTAGATTTTCCTGTTGTACCTCTAGGAGGATGCAATAAGCTTCATATCAATCTATTTTCCAGCTCTGCAATTTATTTAAGCCCTTTATAAATAGTTCAGAGTTCAAGATTCAGCATTCAAACTAAAAGTGATAATGATTTTTCTATACAAGCCTTTCACCCAATAGCCTCTTTCATCTCTGAGTACTCCAACAATTGCTGTCTGTCCTGGGTTGTCTTTGGAGCACCCATCCGTGTTGAGTTTGCACCAACTTGTAGGTGGAAAGTTAGAAGATATTAATCTAGTTGCTTTATTGGCGACCTATTGTTCCATGTTCTCACAAGCTTGTGCATTTTATTAGGCTAACTGTTTGGCCTTCTTTGCAATTATATGAGACGGGGTAGCTATAAATCTCTTTCGGTACTCTTTCTCCTAATTTAATTGAATAAAAGGGTATTTGACTATACTTTGAGTCATTGTGTATTGTTAAGAGATACACCTATATGTAATAGGTCTTACTTCACTAATCTCCTCGACACATATTGTAACACTCTGGTCTCCTGAACACGTTACTTGATAATTCTAATACTAAAATGTAATGCCCCATCCCATTCTTCCACTCAAATTGGATGTGTGAGTGTATGAGTGTAATTCACTAGTTAAAATAGATAAAATGCATTTACAAAGTCAAGTTTGAAATACAAACTATAACGTTCCAAGTTCCATTGTATTCACCTAAAACTCTGAAAAAGAGATAAATGGAGTAGGGTATAAGCCTCAAACAGTTTAGTAGACCAATCCAATTCTACAACAAACCAGGATTTGGACATAATCATAACTTTTAGTAATTGGGATTTAAGGCAACATTTAAGCATATATACATATTTCAGAATAAAAAAATAGGGTTATAATCATATTGAAACCATAGTGTGTCACACTAGAGACCAAAATCTTATGACCTCCCAAGGTCCAGAGAAATCTCAATATCATCAAATAATGTTTTAGGGGACTTTCACTTCAAGTATGATACATTCTCTCTACTTATTCATACCCAAGCTCGAAAGTTACAAGATCGCCAAAATCAATAAATTCAATACAATTCTTTACGATTTAAATCTAGATCACAGGCTCTCTCCCACTCAATTATGTATACAGATGCTTTCCACAAAAGTGGATCCGAATAATCAACTTCCACAAAAATAACTTATTAACTCAACAAATGCGAATTCCACAAAAATACAAATGGATCCAAAATTAAAAATTAGTAATCAACCCAATCACATAATTAAGAACATTTAAAATATAATTTCTAAATAAATTGAGTATTGAAAAGAATTAAAAAAAATTCAAGTCTATCGCAAAACCAAAATAATCTACCAAATTTGTCTCAGTACCTCAAATAACTATGAAAAATCAAAGGGATAAACTTTTTGATGGCAACTCAAACACAAGTAGTTACGAACTATTAAAACATAGATTTATTTTTGTTTTGGCCAAAAAGTGCGTAAGGTGTTCAAACTGGATCCCAAAAAAGAAAAAAAAAACCACCATTTTCAGCATGTGTATCAAGTAAGGTTCAAACTTGGCAAACAAAATATGGATGAAAAGCTCTTGAAATAAGAAGTATGGTGATCCAAACCACAACCCTAGACCATACCTCATGCGCCATCGGGGCGTCTGGTGGGGTTCCACTTCCTCCCCCAGCTTCTCTCTAGCTTTTCTCCCACATTTTTTAACCAAATCAAGTGATTCAAAGACTAGATTCTTCCTCTCTTCGCTACCTTTCCAACCATGTTTTTGGTTTTTAAAGATCATACCCACGTTTTAATGAAATTGAGCTCAAAATTTTTGGTTCTACCGTGCATGTTCAGATCGAGGTTTTAACTTAGAGATCTTAGCAATCGTAGATTGATGTTCAGTAGTATATTAGTAGTCCAATTTGGGTGGACATCTGTTGAGGGGACCAATGTGCAACTACTGTCCAACCAAACATCCAAATTAGCTCAAGCCAACCTCCATATCAGCTTCCTTGACCACAAAAACATTGGACTAGGCCCCACAAGCCTAAATTTCCAAGATTTCAGATACCCACCAAATCAAGCTTCATATGTTCATCCATAGCAACTAGGATTCCATGTTCTTCCCCTTTCAATCCACGACCTTACTTCCAGAGCATAGGTAAATGTTACATATACCAACTAGATCATGTTTCATGTTTCAATTGAAAGAAAAACACATAAAATGTAACATGCCCAATTCATACCTCATCTGAGCTTAAAATTCAACTCTTGTTCAAATTAAGCCTAAAAGTTCCTTAATTTTCAAGAATTTCACTCACTTGATTTATTCGACCCGATATTCTTTCACCAGATGATTTTATATCTCAAACTCGTGTTTGTACAATTTTTTTGTTCGATTGTTTTGTCATCGATTTCCAATTCACTAAATTGCAATATTCCAACCTATATTAACCATTTTCAAACTCTGTTGTTACAGTGATCCACTTATATATTAGCAAATTTATGGAGATTGACCTACGTCGAAAAAAATTAAGAGACGATATATTAAAATGGATCTGAATCCGTTAATAAGGGGCATGCATTTTGTTCAAGATAAGTTTATTTTTCATAAAAATGATGATGATTGGAGGTTTTATTGGATCAATCACCTCAACCATGGCTTAGTAGGTTTTGCTGTTTTGTTGACCTTGGAATCAAGATTAGGGACTTCTCAAGAAAATAATACCAACCCCATGAAGAAAAAGCAGAGCTGCTGTTACTATCAAAAAACTGATAAAAGTATCTGGAATCGTTAAATTCAGTATCCCAAAAAAAAAAAAAACTGTTAAATTCCATTTTTATATCTTATTAATGGAGTTGACTAAAGTACGATTTTTTTTCTTCAGGACCATAGCTCTATTTATTATATTTATAATTATTTTTATAGTTTGTTTTTACCGTCATAGTACCAAAAAAAAGGGGTTAAAAATAATTACCACAACATTAGTAAAAACATTCACAAATGTGATAAAAATACCAACAAATGTGACAACTCACCTACAAAAGTGATAATTTTTTTTTTGTATAAAAAAAAAGTGGTAAAAATAGTTATCACAAATATGATAAAAACAACTACAACAATGCTAAAAACACTCATAAAAATGGTAAATCACCCACAAAAATAATAAATTTTTTTGTTATAAAATGACTTACAAAAATTATAAAAATACTCATTAAAATAAAAAAATTAGAGATACGGTACTAAACAAAAATTTCAGTGCCGAAGTAAAGTCAACTATTAGATGACCTGTTTGACTAAATAGCAAATTTGGGAGTTGACTACGATACCGAAAAATATTTTTCCCCTACCATATCTTCATTTATCAATGTTGTGGTTATTTTTTACCACATTTAGGGGTCCTTTTTGTCACTGTTATGGTACTCAAAATCTAAAAAATGGTAAAAATAGTTACCAAAATAATGATAAAAATACCAACAAATGTGATAAAAACATCTATAACATACCCACAGATGTTGTAAATTTTTTGCACAAGTTACCACAAATGTGGTGATAAAAATACTTTTACAACAATAATAAAAACACTCGCAAAAGGGATAAATCACTCACACAAATTATAAAATTTTGAGTTACAAAATAACCCGAAAAATTATAAAAACTTTGATTAATGTGATAAAAGTTAAAGGTACGGTATGAAAATTATTATTTTCTCAGTACAATAATCAAGTCCGCAAATCGGGACTGAACAACTCTGCCCAAAGGTTGGAACAAATTTGATTGCTTAATATCAACGGTATAGTGATAGATTATATTTCAGTTGTTATCAACTTCAGCTTGATAATGTTCAAAGTCCACATCATTATGCCTGGTACAGAAGATGTCAAAGACTGTATTAATGTTTTCATGCTCACATTGTGTGATTAATAATATATAAATCAGGGAGTTGTGGTAATGCCTCCAAGTAGTTGAAATCATGGTGATATTTCACCATGACACAGACTTGTTTATTTAGTACAATTATTTATGTCTGCACCACACTTACAATAGTTTGTGGAATCCATGTGTTTAGTACATGAGAGGTAATTGAATACAATATCTTACAAGGTGCTAAACTTCCCATGTTAAAAAACAGTCTTATCATATAGGTCGGCAAGTGCCGATTGGCTCAAGTAAAATATATTCCTAGTTCAAATTTGAAAAATTAATCACACAAAAAGTCAAAGAGGGAACAAAATGTCGCATCACTCGTCGCTCCAACATGTACGGAAACATGGCACATAAAACATAAAATTTAGTTGTTTAAAAAATTAATCCTGATATACTAAATTATAATTTTTTATTTCTTCATTTATTTGATTACATCATTTAAAATTAATTTCTATTTATTATTTTTTTTAAAATAACATTAAAATTTTCTCAAAATATATAACCTCACAAATTTTATTTCTAACACATGTACATTATCGTGTATGGACAATGTATGAAATAACTATAAATTAATCAAATATGAAATAATTAAACATGTAATAGAATTGAGTGATGAGATGACTTTAGGAGAAAAAATATGTGTGAGATAAAAATTCAAACTCTTAAGTGTTTTATTATATAGATATACATGTTATATATAGGAATAACAGTGGTTAAAAAAAAAACGGGTATTTGCGTTTGAACTGGAGATGAATGCATATGAAAATATTTATATAAATTCATACGGGAATGGACTGAAACTCATCTTCGCCCCTCCTCTTCCCCCAACCCTCCCCTTCCTTCCGCTAAACCCATGATATATATCTATCTAAAAGA